TGGAGAGGCTCCCTGAGGCGGAGATCTGTCAGCCAGCAGCATAGTGAGCTGAGCCTGCTCTGCCAAGAAGCAACATGGGATTGGGAGGTGAGGTGACAAGATGCAGAACGGTACAGGAAGGCAGGGGACACATGAATTCTAAGGCCCGCTCTGCTACCACCAGTTCTATAATTAGGCCTCAGTATTCCCATCGGGAAAATGACAGTGTGGGATGCCCCTGAGGTCCCTTCCAGCTCTCAAAGCCCTCTACTCTGTCCCTTTGGTAAGGTCATCACCAACCAAGCACAAACGTTACATTTATGTCAGGAAGGCACTAGAGTTATTCGGGAGAACTCCCAGTGTGGGATGCCCCTGAGGTCCCTTCCAGCTCTCAAAGCCCTCTACTCTGTCCCTTTGGTGAGGTCATCACCAACCAAGCACAAACGTTACATTTATGTCAGGAAGGCACTAGAGTTATTCGGGAGAACTCCTTTTGGGAACAAATATTAGGTAGTAAAAAAAATGAATGTAGGTCTGATTTTAAATACATATCTTGAAGTAGATCTTAATCACTCATACAATCAACCATCTATCTGGATGCTACCACAATAACTCTTCCCATTTACCTGCCAGGATGTTCCCAGAGAAGAGCCAGGCTACACCTCTGAACTAAAACAGCTCCTAAATAAACTTACTGTTTATAAGGTTAAAAAAGCAGATTGTTTCTTTCTCAAGAAAGGGCTGAATCTCCTAATCTATAAAAATTTTCTAAAGAACATTATATATTATTTGGCTCCAAACACTTAAAAAAAAAATCATTGAAACATCTAAAAAAACAGTTAAAGACAATTTCCCAAACTGTCCTCATTGAAAATATCACAGGTGTTGGCATTACAGATGAGAGAGGGCATTGAAAACAGAGCTTTGTTGCATGAGAAACAAAAGGGACACGTCACGGGGAGAAAAATCCCGTTGCCTGTAAAGTCCAGACACACCACTTGTACTGGGTCTTCCCACTGTAAACATCCCATCTACCAGAGAAATCCCCCTGATTAATCTGACCTCCTGGATGACACTGCGCAGGTTCTGATGCTGGGAGTGAATCACACACTGCAGATGAGAGATCTGCTCCTGGAGAATGGAAATCTCCATTTGAAGATCCTGGCAACTGGGAATGCAAGGGAAAAGAGAGAGAGAAAGATTTGCTACCACATTCTACAGCTCTTTCTTAGTGCCTGTGCGGCCAGCCCCTTCTCTTCACTCCATGCCACTGGTATCACATGGGTGAGATGCTCAGGCCTCATATTCCAAACAGGACACACTGAAGATAAATAGCTATGAAGCAGCCTCTGATTTGCTCAGATACGGACTTGAATGAGAATATCGATTCAAGTTAAAACCTCTTTTCTGGCCATCTGTGACTCCCTCCAGCAGGAAGTTGAGTAAAGTTGTATTGAGTGGGGTGGAGCACTTACATGTCTAAACTGTCTTGCCTGTGAGCACCCGTGACCGGACCCCCATGAAAATTCACAGATAATTACATGAGATAATTGCATGTTTTTAATGATAACATGTTCTGGGAGCAGGAATGGAGGTTTTACATAGACCGTACATCAGAAATCAATTTCCAATGATACATGTTTAGTATATGTTGTAGATTGCCTGAGAATTTTTTTTTTTTGCATCCTACTTTTGGTAGATCAACTGCCTATAGGTAGAGGGGGTGAAGGGACAGAAATTAAATTCCAGCTAACATCTCTGAGTCCTCATAAAGTATTGTGAAAAAAGATGGGTCATGTTTGAATTTAGATTATTCATACTTTTTTAAAGCTCCATTTGGATAACTGGAATTGATTGTACAGCTTTGGGCTGTTTCTCTTCTTGCCAATATTATTGGAGTTATGGAGCAACGTGCATTATGGTAAAACCAGCAAGCCTGGGGGTGTTATAATCTTGTAGATGTCACTCAACGTTTGCCCTCATCCAATGCAATCACAATTCTGTATTTTTATAACCTCTACACATATTACAAAGACTGTGAAAATTTATGTGATACTATAGAACATATTCTCATTAAGAAAAAAAGTTATTAATTTCCATTTTCTTTGGCATCATGTACTAAAACTTTACTTCTCACATTTAATATGCATCAGGGGATCTTGTTAAACTCAGACTGTGGTCAGTAGATTGGTGAAGGGCTTTAGATCCTGTATTTACAGCATGTTCCAGGTGTTGCCATGGAGTCACTGGTCCATGGACCATGCTTTGAGTAGTGCAGCAATTAAGAGGGTCTCAGTAACTTTCAGTATATAACATAGTCTTTCAAAGCCAAGTAATTTGCAAGCAACTTGCAACATTGAGGACATTCTTTTAATTTTCTCCCTGTTTTGGTTTTTGTTTTAGTTTTGAGAGAGCTTCAGAGAAGTGTGGTATACTGTAGAAAAATTAATTTCCATAAAACTATGGATATCCTTGCACAGTAATGATGGCCATTGTTTATTTATCCTATGGAATTAATAATTTATTTTATAAAACTACTGTATATCCATATAACATATATGTAACAAAATATATGTTAAGTGAGGTTCATTATTATTCATAGCATTAAAAAATGGAAATAACCTAAATACTCATCAATAGAAGACTGAAAAAACGAATTATGGTACAGCTGTGCTACTTTTAGTTTATGTACACTTACATATCGCAGAGATAGACTGATAGTCTTGAGTTATAATAAGATGGCTCTGCAGAACATTGCAGAAAGGATGATCTTTTCAACAAATGCTGCTGAAACAACTAGATATTCATACAAAAGGGAAAAAAGGACGGGGGGTGGAGGGCAGGAGAACTCAGAGCCCTCCACGGAGACAGTGGACTTTGGAGGTTTGCAAACATTCCAAACTGAGAGCTACAGGGGATCACAACCCACAGACAATCTTCAGGGGCAGGGGTCCTCAGAACTCGGGGTGCAGGGGATTGGGAATGTGTGAGGGGAGGGGTTGAGAAATCTGGGATGCTCAGAACCCTTGGATAGTAGAGTTGCTGAGAACATCCAGAGGATGGGGAAAGTGGGGAGCCTCAGAAGGAAAAATCCTCCAGCTCTAGCAAAAGATGAGTTGAGGATATGAGGATCAAAACAGCACAAAAAGCCAGTAGAAATTTGGCCCACAGCTGGTGATAAAATTCAAAATTGCTCCACTGAGGAAGGAAAAGGAACAAAAGAAAAAGGAGGAAAGAGCAGCAGTGACCTACTTAATGGTCAGACTCGACTTTCCTGGGAAATAATAAGAAAGAACTCAGGACACCAAGTCAGAGGCAAGCTGGTTTTGAATATGCATAAAATATAAAAATACTGTGCACTGTTGAAGGTGAGTATTCAAAATGATTCTCATTGTGTCCCATGACCCAGAATGCTGGAAGCGGAGGGAAAGAAGATGGCTTTAGAAGAGGGGTGGAGGGAAGGGGTTGATTTTATGCTGCCAAAAATACCAAGCTCAGAAAATGTGTTCCTTCAAGGCATTTCCATAAGGCTCACTGTAAATAAATAAAAATTTGAAATAGGTCTCCAGATGGAAGAAAGTATTTCTGGAAATACTCTTTAAAACACAGGGCTTTGGGGCTTATCTTATCTCCATTAATACACTAGAACAGTGACCAAAGACCATTGCAGGAAATCTCTATTAGGATTGTTCAATAAATATGAAACCTAGTCATCCGTTTAAGTTCTTTAAATGTGAGAATATGCTTACATAAGCTGCCCCTTGATCTTCCTTTAAGCTTTGTTATTCGTCTTTCCATTAAAGCACTCAGTCTTAATCAAGAGGCAGGAAAACATCAGAGGAGGAAGAAAACTTAACGAAGGGCCAAGCCTAAAAAAGACGTGAAGCCCTCTAACAAACGTCTGTATCTAGGATTATGCACTGCTCCCAATGTCTCAAGAGAATTTTTAATCAATGTTTTCCTCTACAGTGCAATAGAATAGAAATATAAAGCAAATGTTGAAATTAAAATAGGATAGAAAAACTTTGGCTTCTGGGAAGATGTAGATATCCTTTTCCCTATTCTTACCACTAAGTGCAACTAAAATTCAATGTTTTCCTCTACAGTGCAATAGAATAGAAATATAAAGCAAATGTTGAAATTAAAATACGATAGAAAAACTTTGGCTTCTGGGAAGATGTAGATGTCCTTTTCCCTATTCTTACCACTAAGTGCAACTAAAATCCCTGCACGGTGCATGTAAACGTAAGAAGACTGTATGGTGGAAAGAAGGCAGACTGGCTCAGAATCCCGGGGTCTAGGAAACAACCCAATGGTGAATTCCCTGAGTTTTCTTTTTGCCTCATATATCGCAGACTCGGAGCTGAAAAAGCCAGTGGCCTGGAACGCCTATGGGAGCAGACCAAAAATGCCCAACAAAAAGAGAGGAGAATCTCAGCCTTCTTTAGGGAGGGAACTGAGGATCCTCTCTGAATTCTTCACTGAGGGAGATTGAAGTGTACCATTTCTGGCTCTCTTCCTGTTTGATTTTTTAGCATTTAAGAAAGGAATTCAATCGTCTTTAACTTGCAGAACTGTGAATAGAAATGGCTTTGCCTCTAACTAGCAACATGGGATGGTCACAGAGTAAGAGAGACTGAAGCATCCCCTCAATCTCTCCACTGCCCAGTGTCTGCCAATGGCGTGGTGGAAGGAAGCTGAGTTCATGGAGGAACGTCTCCTTCCATTCCTCGGGACACTCTAGAATCTGTCTGTGGGTTAACTTATACCGACTTGCAGAACTGTGAATAGAAATGGCTTTGCCTCTAACTAGCAACATGGGATGGTCACAGAGTAAGAGAGACTGAAGCATCCCCTCAATGTCTCCACTGCCCAGTGTCTGCCAATGGCGTGGTGGAAGGAAGCTGAGTTCATGGAGGAATGTCTCCTTCCATTCCTCGGGACACTCTAGAATCTGTCTGTGGGTTAACTTATACCATTAAAGGGTGTTCCTTGCCACATCACCCTCTGCCCCTTGCTGTTATAATGGCTTTGATTGAATTGTTCTTTGGCATCATGCTATCAGTTTTAGGGGATGTTCTGAGGTACAGCCTCTGTGTTTATTACGAGAATTTGGTCGAAGACATTATGCAGGGATCTCTTTATGAGCATACCCTGAACAATTTTCTTTCTGGCCTTACAGATGTATTAGAAACTGACCTTCTCCCACAAAACTAGTTGGTTTTAGTCATGTGGACATTGTGAACCACAAAACTAATCATAATGTCCTCCTTGGGGTGGCTGCTGGAAAATTTTAAATTAAGACTATTTCTCCCTTTTTGAACAGAAATATGTTATGTTTGTCCCACCATTATATCTTGGAAGTAGATAACTTGTGATTTCACAGACGGGACCTTGAGACTTTGGACTTTTGAGCTGACACAAGTTAAGTCTCTGGGTATAGAGTGGATGTATTTACCTGTGAGAAGGACATGAGTTTTGGGGGACCATCAGTGGAATTGTGTCCTCCCAAAGATTAATGTTAGAAACTTAATCCCCACTGAGACAGTGTTAAGAAGCTGGGAAATCCTATTATGATAATTGAATGGTGGGGCCTTGAAGAGGTGATTAGATTGTGAGGACCATGCTCAAGTGAATGGATTAATCCATCGGCGGTTTAGTGGTGGCCATGAGTGTGGTTCTGATGGCTTTAAAAGGAGAGCAAGTGAGAAGTTCTCTCGCTCTTGCTCAAGCCACATTTGCCATGTGATACCCTTTATTGCTGTAGAGTCACCAGCCACGACCAACAAGGCCTTCGCCAGATGTGTTCTCTGGACTTTGGACTTCCCAGCCTCCAAAACTGTATACTGGAAGAATATGTTTTCAACAAATTCAATGGAGAAAAGGAAATAAGCAGAGCAATCTTACACAATTGATAAAATCCAAAGGTAGATTAACTAAAGAGAAGTGATAAAATGAAGAGAGCTGGGATCTTAAGATAGTGCACTGGTAACAACCATCCTTGTTACATGGTAATTATTACTAAAATTTCAAGACAGTTTTACCACGATAACTGCACTCCTAAACGATATAGCTCAATGCCTTAAATAATCCTTTAATGAAGCCACCTAGACCTGCATTTTCTTCACGGGAATATTTCTGACTACTGCCTCGATTCCCTA